AAAAAAAAAAAAAAAAAAAAATCAATAACAGACAAGAAATACAAAGAGGGAGGGGATAGCTACCGGAGGAATGCGGCGGGTATGATCGGAAACATTGGGAGAAGGAGCAAGAAAAGAGAGAAGTGCAAAGAAAAGAAGCAGGCCACCGAAAATGGACGAAATGAAAGGGATAAGGAATCTAAACCGATTATAATAGTGGTTGCGGCGCCGCTGAAAAGCCATAGCTCCTGGTGACAGTGACCACCGAAGCTCCTGACTCTCCGTATCGGTGCTCACTCTGATTGGGAAGGAGGAAAATGGCCTGAAGAAAATGAGAAGAAGAAAAAAAAAAGGAAAAGTGGATCTCTGTGAGCTAAGGGTCCAGCAAAGGCTGAAGAACCATCACCTTTTTTATATTTCTGAAAAAGAACACTCGGATGCCGACAATGGAATCGCAGACATCAAATATATAGCTCATCGTGGATTCATTGGAGAGCTTTGGTCGGAGCTGGCCGGCCCGTTTTCCTTTATTGGTTATTATTTTGGATAATAATTGAAATTGGGTGTGGATTGTTTTTAGGGGCTAAATTAGGATAATCATTGTTGGGTGGGAACAGCTCAGTGAACCAAATCTTTCAGTCTGTCTTCACCCATATTAAGATCCATTCATAAATTTAAATCAACTTATTCTCATAAACCTAAATAAAGATTATATTGGTGGGGGGTTTATTAGAGACTTTTATTTCTTCCAATTCATTCTCATCTTTCGCTAATTTATTTAGTCGACCTCTTAGTGGTGAGGCTGCCCATCGCCTTGGCCTCCTCCTTCAGCGTGAACTTCTGAACTTTCCCAGTCGAAGTCTTAGGCAAATCTCTGAATACAACGCTTCTTGGAGCCATGTAATGAGGTAAATTGTCTCTGCAAAACTTGATGATCTCTTCTTCAGAAGCACTACGCCCATCCTTGAGCTTCACAAAAGCACATGGCGTTTCGCCCCAATGATCATCCGGGCGTCCCACAATGGCAGCTTCAAGAACTGATGGGTGACTGAAAAGCGCCGACTCAACTTCAATCGAGCTGATGTTTTCTCCCCCAGAAATTATGATGTCCTTTGATCGATCCTTCAATTCGATGTAACCATCAGGGTGCCTGACCCCCAAGTCCCCTGTTCGAAACCATCCGCCACTGAAAGCTTCCTCTGTGGCTTTAAGATCTTTGAAATATCCACTCATCACAGTGTTGCCTCTGAGCATAACCTCCCCTATGGTTTTTCCATCAGCTGGAGCACTTTCCATGGTGATTGGATCCTTTATGTCCACTCCCTGCAGCCCAACATGCTGCAATCCTTGGCGGGATTTCAGCTTTGCTTGCTTATCTTCAGGAAGAGAATCCCATTCAGGTTTCCAACTGCAAACTGTTGCTGGCCCGTGTGTTTCTGTCAAGCCGTATGAATGGACAATAAGGAATCCAAATTCTTTCATTTTGTGGAGTACATGAGAGGCCGGAGGAGCGCCACCAGTCATCACGGTTACAGTCCCCGGAAGCAGCTTCTGTTCGGTAATCGGTGCATTGATGATCATGTTCAACACTGTTGGCGCACCGCCCATGTGAGTGACCTTGTGCTCAGAAATGTTGGCAAAGATATCTCTAGCAGTCACATTTCTTTGGCAGATGTTTGTGCCGCCTTGTGCAGCCACGCCCCAAGTTAAACACCATCCATTGCAGTGAAACATTGGAACAGTCCACAAATACACAGGCGTCGAGCACATATTGTTTATAAGGATTGTGGACAGAGTATTGAGATAAGCACCTCTATGGGAGTAAATCACACCCTTTGGCCTTGATGTTGTGCCTGAAGTATAGTTCAGGGAAATTGGATCATCTTCATCTTCAGGACGTCTGATCTCGAAATCAAGTTTTCCAGTGCCTAAAAGCCTCTCGAACTCCAAATCATCTGAACTGGAGTCGAATCCATTGGTGTAGGAGGATTGCTGATCAGACTCTTTAATGATCACAACGCGAGGCAGCTCTTCCGTCGTCTTGGACATAATTTCGATTGCTCCTTTTACAATATGTAGAAATTGGTAGTCTACAAAAATGATTTTGGCTTCTGAATGTCTCAGCAATGTACAAATCATTGCCGCATCGTGGCGCATGTTGAGGGTGCAAAGAACTGCACCGGCCATTGGCACAGCAAAATGAAGCTCGTACATCGCTGGAATGTTGGGTGCCAAAGCAGCAACCTAATCGACAGAATCGTATTGCGCCACAAAATTAGATCATTAATGCTGTTAATCTGCTTCAATAACTTCAATTTCATAATTTCGAATTCTACGTAAACAGCCACATCCAGATACTAACAATCGAAGAGCAGAGGAAAACAAATACATAGAAATGAAGGGAATGGAAGAGTTGAGAATGAATAAATACCACGTCACGGAGAGAGATCCCGACGTCAACCAGGGCAGAAGCGAGCCTGGTACATCGCTGGAGCGTCTCTGTCCAAGTGTAGCGGACAGTTCCATGGACGAGAGAAAGTCTTTCACCGTAGACGGCGGCGGAGCGCTCCAAGAAGGTGATGGGAGTGAGAGGAGAGTAGTTGGCAGAGCATCGATGCATTCCGTCCATTGAAATTGCAGACGGCGGAGGGAGATTGAGAGAGATAATGGGAGTGTTAAGGTGAAAGGAGGAAGCAAAGCCAATGTGTTGAGTCTCCTTCTCCATACTCTGAAACTTATATAAGCAGCCGAGAAAGAACTGGACATGCAGTCAACGTTAAGTCCGTTTTCTTTCTAAACTTCTAACATTTTTTCTTTTAACAATATTAAATACAAAATTAAAAATAAAAACTGTAATTTTTTTAAAAATGATTTTAAGGAAAAATAAATATAACTTAACAATAACCCATTAATATCGTGGAAGTTTTGTTACTAGTTGTTCAATAAATAGGGAGGTGGTGATTTAAGTATCAAACATATAGATCCTTTTCTTGTTTTTTTTAAATTATTATTTTTAGAAATTGAACTTGACACTTATAGTCTCCTTATATTTCAAATATTCTAAAAAAAAAACGTATAATATATATATATATATAAGGAAAAATAAATGCATCTCACAAGTGCCATTAGATTATTAGTTATTGTTCTTGTTTTTTTAATTATTATTTTTAGAAACCAAACTTGGTAATTTATAGTCTCGTAGTTAAGATATATATTTCAAGCTCTTCTACTTCGATTATTACAAAGCATTAGTCCTTACACTGGTGCGTTCTAATAATTAAATTGTTGATTTTGGATTATAGAGTATTCATTTATTTGATTCACTTGCTCCATTTGAATTAAACAGATTTCATCAAAGCTAATTAGACTTTGATCTAATTCTAGTTTCAATGAATGTATGTAAATGAAATGTAGTACAAGTTAATGTTGAAAGGAAGAAAAACCCGCCAGACAAAGGAGGTATCCTACAAAATAAACATGGAGTACAATACCTAAATAAACATGGAATACAATACCTAGCATGAACCAAATAAGCTCGCAGTTGTGGTTTTGATTTGTAAGGAAAATTGCGGGAAAACCCCTAATTAGGAAATATCATCTCAAGTTTACATCAAAAGCCTGGAGGTGGTGGGTACCTAACCAGAAATCAATCAAGAAGCTTACCTGGTTGTAACTCAATAAATTTTCACTATTTTGTGTATCATGTGGTGACCAAAAGGTACAACAGACCTTTCAAATACTCTACTACTTCAGATCCTCCAAGCTTGGAAATTCCAAACACTCTATCAACAAAGGTTATTGGAACCTGCAGGCCACAATGAAACACAAATCATCTCAAATTTCCCCGTGTAATACGGTCTAAAGGGCCAAGAAAAATAAAAATTGAAAAAACATTCTTATTCAAACACTTAATGTGATGTGCCACATTGGTTGAGGAGGAGAACAAACCACCATTTATAAGGGTGTGGAAACCTTCCCCTAGCAGACGCGTTTTAAAACCTCGAGGGGAAGCCCGAAAGGGAAAGCCCAAAGAGGACAATATCTGCTAGCAGTGGGCCTGGGTCGTTACACTTAACAACTAAGGTGTTCTAGATCCCACGATAGGCAAAAATGAAGGGAAAAGAGTACTGTAAAACAACAATTAGATTGTCGCAGCCACAGGGCACAACTCTACCTCTTCAATGTGATAGCCTTTTCTTGTAGCTCGAACAATCATCTCCATTTGAAAGACATATCCCTTGCTAACAACTGAGCTAATGATATCTTCAAGCACCGATTTCTTGTAGAGCCTACACATAGGAATAAATCATTGACTAAGAATTGTAGAAGTATGAACGATTGACACAGTTGATAAATTGAAAGGAAAAAAAATTGATTACCGGAAAGATCCAGTTAAATCTGATACACCAGGCCATAAAAGTGTTTGGGCAAGAACATTAGCTCCTCTACTTGTTAGTTTGCGCATAAGATTCCATCCATGCACACCGCCACCTTTCACATATCGGGTGCCTGTAACTATATCAGCACCCGTTTGTAACTGTTTCCTATAGGGAAAAAGAAAAAAAGGATTTAAATAAGTAGTCAATAATATCTAGAGTTTAGTTATTATGACTCTGAGCTAAGGAAGTGGAGTGAGGTAATGGAAGGAAGTCTGTCCTACCGAATGAAGCTTGGTAAATATTTGGGCTGCCAAACAAAAGAAAGAAAAAGAAAAGGTTATTCCATGGAGAAAGCATCATAAGAAAACAACAGGGAGGGGGAATTAAACCCTTGGAACTCCAAACATGCTTATGGAAGTTTTTGGAAATTGAGCTTTAGAAGTAAAGATATGCTAGATGAAAGTAGAAGTTCGGATGGCATTTGCCAATTTGATGTCTCAAGTAGCGCAAGTCAGAGGCAAAAACATATTATTAAATAGAAGCATTCATATGATTGGAGGGAGCCAGGGTTTCTTGTACCAATATACAACAGTTTTTCAATAGAAGCCAAATAATACAGAAATACAAACTCATTCTACTTTTTTGTCACTCGATTTTCATTGTTAAGAAAAACTCATTTCCCTCGAAACCTCATTATACAGGGCCATTTATTAAAGAAATCAAACTAAAATCGTGTGTTGTTCCAATTATTTGACATTCGCCTATTATATTCTTAAAAGTGTTATTATCTACTGTTCTAGCATAGATTAGAGCCACAATTTTGGATAGTTCCTTTAGTTTCCATTTAGAATATTTTTTGGGGGCCTAAAATGAAGATCAAGGAAGTTTATCTCAATCTTATTATCGTTATTTTTTGTTAAATTATATATAAAAAAGAGATGTCAATTAATAAAATAGGAAGATAATAATGTCAGGGAAATAGGCATTTGATAATGCAGAATGGAACTCATGGAAACATTTCAAATCACAAATCCAACACTAGAATGTTGTTGATAGAAGTTTTCTGCACTCCTACTGAAACACTTACATGGTGGGATAAATCAGCATCCATTATTACAACAAAATTACCACTTGCATGCTTGAGACCGTGACAGTAAGCCGTT